TACCGCTTACACTTCTGTAAAAAGTTGATCAGTAGTCAGCTGAAGTTCAATTTTTCCTTATCCGTTCATGAGGTAACCATCATGCCCACCTCGGCGCTTCTACTCCTTCTAAAAATGTTTACAAGCAGCACTTCACTCCATTTATTACTGTTTTTGCTTTTTCATCCAACGCGGTGTGGAAAGGACGATACTCGGAATTTTCCTATACGCGCAAGTGCAAAAGGTAATCCGCACTTCTGAGCTCCGTCGACGAACGAAGAACAGGGATGCCGCTGAATACGCCAAGAAACCGGAAATCAGATGGGCCGAGCACGTCATGCGATATAGTGATGACCATTGGACCAGGGTGGTTACTGACTCGATCCCTCGGGACATCAAACGAACCCCAGGACGACCACCGGCCCGATGGTCAGACTTCTTCTCGAAAGGAATGTTTCGCTCCGTGTCCCTCAAGCGAGCACGATTCACTGGACTACTCTGGCTCGCGATAGGGACGAATGGAGACGTTACTGGCTTCCCGCATCGACGGGATAACATATGATACAGGTGATACTTCACTCCCGCAGTCGGCTACCTCTCATTCTCTACGCTCTAGCTTTCAGTGTTGGAGAAGAGGGTGACCCTCTCAGTAAGTAAACTCTTCTAACAAGCGATCGAGATCGAGCCTGAGAGGATCTTCTATGTGTGGATAGCAGCATATACACCAATATGACATGTAGCTGGCACATTCGCATTCAAGAACATACTTAAACTTTATTACTGATCGACACAACGTTCAACTGAGCAGCCGCTTTGTCGTTATCATCCATAGGATCCATAAGCTCCCAATAGACCTAAAGTGACAATTTACATTGGAAAACATGACTGTTAAGGGAAGAACTTATGTCAGCCAACAGAGTTTTACCTTGACAGTTTTCTTTAAGGACCAAATTTTCTTCCAAACGTCAGCATCTGCAATCGGTTTATGTAAAGAATTTCGCCACCCCGTTCGGTGCCATACCGGTAACCAATTCTCGGCGGATAAAATCAGACGAGGAGAATCGGTCCGAATAATAAGCTGTCGCATGCCCGATGCAGACGCCTAAAAGAATAATCCTCACCGGCTTACTATTGTAAATCGAACTAAACTACTATTACTACTAACCTTTTCTAGCACAGCAAAGAGGGCGTGGTGGGTTTTTCTTTCCTCCTCATTGTGCTTATCACTGTATTCGGCGTCCTCTCCTTCCCAAACAATCTTGCTCGTGAAATTCGGGCTTCTTTTGAAAATTCTCACCCTATGTACGCTGAAAATGGTACAACCTAAATCTATGCTACAGTACGTGCGGCGTTTCTTCCACTTGTCTTTTTACGGAATAACCTCCAAGCTGGCACTGGCGAATTTTTTCAAGAGCACTAGATAAATCAACATTCAAGCAAAGAGGTCACAAGATATTTGAAAATACTGCCAACGCTAAAAAAGTCTACGGTGACTGCAAGCAATTTGTAATGGTCGTAGCCCAGTAAAAGCGAGAGTGGATTCTTATTTTTGCCAGGTATGATTGCTTTCAGTGAAACGAACTAGGGCTTCACAACCGAATGAATTCCCAAACAAATAAATGAATAAATAGTTGAAATAGGACGATAATGAATACTTACTCAGAACTTTCCAATGAGTCCGTCTCAGTCAATAAAATTTCTTTTAACTCTCTGTTATACTCGGAGCGATCCTTGCCAACAACTGGTAGATCTATTGCCTCCAAGCATTTATCGAGAGCAAGGGACCACACAGGGCTATCTTTTTGTGGCGTCTCGTAGCGAAAACGCACCTGAAGGAATACGAATCGTAGGATAAACACTGATAGAACGCTCTGAATACCAACTTCTATGCCTTCCTGAGTTAAATCACGTATTCGGTTGTAGAGAAACTTGTTGGGAGCAAAAGTTCCGCTAGGTTTTGTCCATCTAAACAAGCGAGTTGCAACCAATGGCTAAATATCTTGCAAATAAAAAAAGCTTGATTGGATTTCTGACCCTTTGCGCCAATTTGTCATGAAGGCTTGCGAATCAGTAACTACAACGACTTGTGGCAGCCGATTCTCGACAGCCTGTAAACATGAAAGCGTCAGGCCTTAAAGAACAGCGGATGGAATTCGGTACCTAAAGATTGAATGACACTGCAATTTTTGACGCTCGAGCTCCTTCCAAAGTCGATGCACAGAAATTTCGAAATCGTATTTGACTAAATAATGACTGAGAGTAATCAGCCGTGGCATCCAACTACATCGTGATTACGATATTTCCAGAAAAAAAGAATTGACTAATCCTATAGCTGTGGAATAGATGTTACGGTATTTAGGGTCAGTATGTTGCGGATAATTTGAACCTTAGCAACAATTCTGCCCTTAAACCGACGATTTTGGGTGATACATGGATAAACGGAAGACCACAACATCAAGAGACCTTAGCAGGACCTCAAACTTCGGCAATCGTGCTGAGAGTTTACCACCAGAATCGTGCCCTGACAATTTTTAAAAAAGTAGAAATTATTGTTCAAAACTTTGATTAAGTTCACCTGTTTGAGAGCTTCTTCAATGGCAGATAATTGAGCCCGAAATTGAGTGACTGGCACTAATGCCAACCGATGCATTGTATCATTACCATGACGTTTCTCAGGCCAAACAACGGCGTAAGATGCTGATTTGAATCCTGTTAAAGATGCAAATAAAAATGCAACGAAAACAATAAGATTTGTTTTTATCAGCTCAACGCTCTCTGAATCATAATTCCAAAAATATTTATTAACGACGAAATGATGTTAAGGCTGTCGCGTTAAGGTTGACCGAAGAAAAAGTTTCAAAGAAAATTGGGGAAACTGGAAGGAGTAGCAGTCTTGGGTAAGAATGAACAAAATGTTAAGTAAGGCGATGAAAGGGAGGAGAAGCTGGAAGAGGGATGCGACCAAAATGGACGACGTTATTGGGAAGTATCGATTCGCAATCGGTACATTTCTGCATGCCAACTGAGTGGATTGGAGGCTGACAGAAACTCACCGTTCTTGGAACTTTTGTATAGCGCCGTCGTGTAAACGTGAGGCCAACCTTCTGACGAAGTTGTAGGTGTCTCGCCACTGGCTTCCATTTCGTCACCATATCCACAATGAATCTCTAGAACAATCTCTCCTTGCTTTCGGAACACCTAGAGAAGATGGAACTGCATACCTATGGGAGGGCTATCTGGTGGGCGTGATTTAGATGCGTAATTTTCTCCTTCAAGGATATTTGCAATCACGTAATTTGGCTTCTTATCCTCTACGGCGGGCCGATGTTTGAATACAACCTGTAAACCTTCGTCTGAATTCCCATTTTTCAGAAATTTGAAACTATTCCAACGGAGGTACGCCAGGGATCCCTAACAGAAGTCTGCGTTGGTTTCAAAAAGTATCACAGACATCCTCTATTTCGTACTGTTCTGCATTGAGGGCATAGTTGGTGAAAGTAGATGATGTGACGATCACCAGTTTATTGAGCTAGAATCCAATCCCAGCCACAAATTGCATGCAACACGGTTATGATTCCAATATGATAGCATATGGCACGGCATCAATAACGAACTACCAATTATGCCAGCTTCCTGGCAACGAATGCTAGCTGATATTTGACTGCATCCGGACTTACTTAGCTATCTCATCCACCTTTCGCGTAGAAGAATATGAGAGGAATAAAGCCACGAAAAGAATATACACAACACATACATTCATGTCTTTCGTGGACTCGTACAAATCCTTCAGCAGTTCTGCATTCTTCATCTTAGGTCCCAGATATGAATGGAAGTCTCTCATTGCATACGTTTTTAGTTTGGAGTGGAATCCAGGAGGGCAATTAAAGTCTGTATAAATTACCATCTTCTCGAGCGAGTCATCCTTTCGAGCCTTAAAGATCCAACCTAACAACGGATATAAATAAATCCTCGAAGAATGACTATCAATGCTCAGACTCACAACACGAACAGCATCAATCATAGCCATTAGCATGGCAGCTACATTGGTAATACCAGGCACTTCACAGATCGAATTACGCGGATCGTTGTGACCCCAGAAAATACCGTACTTGCCCACCCGTCCAGATGATTTCGTGAATGAATATCCAGTTGTACATACTTCTACCACGTTGCTGGAAGCCGTACCGTTGTCATAGTAGAAAGTAAACAACATTAATGTTGAATACATAACAGAAATTGAGTTGAATACCTCTTTGTGCTTTGAGAGGTAGATGGCTGGCAATAGAATCTCAGTGCTGCTTGAGTACTCACTGGGAGAGCAGCGAAACGATTTCGTACTAGTGATCCAATCATTCTCTGTCCAAGATGAACGGCGGGGCTGTGAAATACTTCAAGAATAAAAACAGGTGAATATGAATAGAATCAATCGAGAACTCCCTAGAAAACAATATCGCTGTGTACAAAAGGAATGATTGTAACTCTTCAAATTTGTAAGAACTCGATCGGGACGCGGATTTGACGCATCGACATTTACAAAGAAACAAGCCAGAAAATCATAATTTTATTGAAATGTACAACAACGCATATGTACAACGAATGATTTACAACGTATCGTGACAGTAAAAAGAGTGACTAAGCAAAAAGCACACTAAAGACACTCTCATGCAAAAGACTGTTAGGAACTAGCTAAAGCTGTTTAAATTACCCGAAAACATTCATCCTGAACTACATATAAACAGGTCGCCTGCATAATAAACTAGTAATACTATTCAAATTGGCATCAAGATATGACCAATAACGGCATTTGGAAAAAGGAATTTGTCTGGGGGAAATGTAATGATCAACTACTCTCAGTCATTAATGCGGGAGGAACGANACACCGTAACACTTACATATCTGCCTGGAAGAGAACTGAGAAAACTCAAATCCGAGCTATCTCATTGAAATATCGTTTTCTGAAGTTTTTCTCAGTGAACCATGCAGGGACACTTTTCCGATTTGTATCGTCCTCTACCTTCTTTTGTATACTTTGCAAAATCTCATTATTCAATAGGCGAAGTCTCACCTTAAAACTCTTCTTTCTACTGATTACCCAAGAACACAAAAGAGTATGTTGACAGTCAATGAACGGAAAACGTACGCAAGTATCACCATTTATCCCTGATTTCGCAGCTCTTCTTCGTATCGCATCGAACATTTCAATTTCCTTTTTGGCCTTGAATGTACCGTTTCCAACTTTCACAACAACATCGTTAGGTGAATAAATCAATACATGAGATGCTCGATGAAACATAGCCTGGAAAAGCAGCTCTTCATCAGTGAGCAAACAAAAAAAAAACAGCACAAAAAATAAGCACAGAAAATACTCACATTGATAACTGCATAGTAGACTGCCTTAACTTGAACGGTGTAAGAATTATCGCGAGGATCTAGTTCAATATTCAAGTTTCTGAAACTAAGTCAACTCAACATCTGCGAACTAAACTCACAATCAGCACTAAAGTTAATGGGGTGGGCCTTGCGAAACTAAGTCCGCTGAGTCACAACTGTTTACGATAATAGTGCAAGCAGAATCGGCTGTATGTAATTGTGCTGGTTGCGAACACATCAAGACTACACCGCAAAATGAACTCCCGATAAGGATTCCATAAATATCAGAGTGGACAAAAGGAGGAACACACATCGTTCTTCAAGGAACGTCGTCATAACAAAGTAGTAAAGAAAATGGGAGAAAAATTATTCAGCTCTACAAGTGAAACAAATGGTGAAAGGCGTAGGAAAAGTGGTGGCAGCATTAAAAATGTTGCAAGGCAGAGCCAGCTTCTAATAACCGTAGATCAGGAAAATTGCAGTTAAAAAGAACAACCTCTCAGGATGCTCCACCCAACGAATCACACAGTTTGCTCGTCTGTCTAGTCTTTCAGGCTCTCCATGAACGACAACAGGTGTTGCCCTGCGAACAAAGTTGTCTCAAAGAGGATCGAACCTTCACAGATTCAAATGTGACATGCTTATGGTACTAACACATTCGCTAAAAGATCTCTAAAAACTTTCGCTTTTGTTCCTGAGCGGTTCACGGCCATATCCACTATGCATTTTAAAAAATAGAATAGAAAATAGACTATGCTGATATGGGAAAACGAAACAGTTGTGATAAGATGCTAGACTCTTCAGAAAATACGTTTTTTTTTTTAATAAAGAAAAGTGACGTAGAACAAAGAGTTTCGAACGAAAGCAATCGTTTTAGAACATTCTCACAACCATAGCACAAGTACTACTCTACCGTCGAGGCTTCCCAGGAAACCTCAATTCATATATTCAATTAAGACCAACATATATGCTATGGAAAGCATTGTTTCCATTCAGCTATACATTCTCTCTAAGGACTTTGTAGCGATCAGCTGTCAGAAAGGTATTGCACTACCACGAATGTGGTAACATTTGAGCGTTACGCAGAATCAAACAAATTCGCTACCTATCCACCTATAGCCTTTTCACCTACTTTTCAAAAAGTTCCTGCACCAAGCTCGTAATCCGTGTGCCCATTTTTCTATGTCTATGCTATATCTTGGCTGAGTCATCTCCTGCGCATGTGTGTGTAGGTACCTTTCAATTTCGTAAAGGATAATTTTAGATTTTTCTAATCATATGACGACCTACATTGCCCACGGCCGTTCCTGCTCAAATATTCGTACATCTTTATCAGAGGGAGAACTCGAAGACGCAGTTTCTAGCAGCCATTTAAAAGCAGCGTCGCTGTAATGAGTGAAAAAGGTATATTCTAGGATGGAAGTTAGGTATCAAAATGAACCCACAAAGACTCAGGAGAACTTCTCACTGAAGATGATGAAACCCGTAGGAAATTCCTTATAAAGGCATACGATACCAACATAGACAATTGGCAGTGAGGTTGCAGTCGTTGTAAGGAGGCTCTCCGCCAGTAAAATGAGGCTGCGACGATAACGATCAGAGAAATAGTGTTCTAGGGTACAAAAGACCAAGTATTTTCTCACGAATCACGCACAGAGCGATGGAAAATGCAACAGAGGTCACAAATTTATTTCCTGTTCAAATCTACATTGATCTCTGCGCTGAATACATCTGTGCTCCACGTCTTGCTAGTTCATCTGCAGCGTCGTTCCCGAAATCACCACTATGTCCAGGAACATATTCAAATTTTACCTGGAAGCACGATTCATAGAGAAGTAAAAAAATATCGCGCGGTGAAAATAGAAGCACACAGCCAAAAATCAATTATGAGCTCAGAAACACCATTACATATAACAAAACTTTGGTCTCATACCTTCTTTACTTTTCATATATTTCTTTCAAACTGTTCCAGTTCAACACTAATTTCTAATGTCAGGTCAACTTGATTGATTCCCAGTTTTCTCACTTCAAGGAATCCGATCACTGCTGATATTATATTGAGCTTGGAAGCGGAATTCACTCTATACAAAGTAGCCCCCTCGCACTAAGCAAAGCAAAACATACCTACTCTCCAGGACATGATGCAAAGGCCTGGGTAAAGGGCTCAGCGATAATACGTCCCTTTTTGAGGTGTATTACACGACACCCTCAACTCCAAACTAATAATAACAGCGGTTTTTAGACGCATATCTCCTCTTTACTATAGAAGATGCGTAGGCCAGCCGATGTCCAAGTCTCTATATAGTAAGTACGATACCAAATTAAGACTAACTCCGCTACCAAAACATGGAACTTTTTCTGACTACGAAATTTAATCCCGATAAGATAATCGCCAGTAACTCGGAAGAAATTGTTCACTGCATCAATTTTAATGGTGTATGTATTCAGAAAATACTTAAATTTCAGTGGAGAAAAACAAGTGGAACGGTGTTTGAGAAAAAAAGTCCTCACAAGGATTTTACGAGTACTTTCATCAATAGATCGCAGCAAATCCTGATTTAATACATCTTTGCCATCATACGTTTTCCAAGAATTTCTGCAAGCAAGAACAATTAAAGGAAAGGTCTTCATCAAAAATTGTGGGTCTAAAATTGTGCACGCACCTCTTCCACTTATCCATGTAATTGTCTAAGGAGTTGATAAGAAGTTTAGAATCAGTACGCAATACTATTGCAGGTAACTTTTTATTGATAGCCTGAAGACAAAACTTTTTCGCTACCACTAGATGGAGAAAGAAAAGCGTACCTGTTTTAATGCTTGATCTACAGCTTGTAACTCTCCTCTATTATTAGTAGGAGCACCCAAAACTGGTCCATATAAATTATCAACGTGATTTTTTCCCCAAAATACACCAAAGCCAGCCTGAAAAGGGGCCAGTATTTCTAATGAAAGACTAATTAGCAGCACTTAGGAAAAGACTGCAGGTGTGGCTATTTGAGGGACACGACGAAGTAAGCTTGCTATTCTTCATCTTTCAGGTGAAAATTTACCATGCGGCAGAAAAATTACTTTAAGTCGAATATCTGTTTGAACCATTCCCATTCCAGAAAATGGTTCTTCATTTCAGAAGCCTTTGCGTATAACCACATAGAGAAGTTACAAGAGTTAAACCCAGCAAAAGGTTCCCATTATAAAAAGGACGATTGTAGGGAGGGCTAAAGAAGTTCGATTATATTATTCATTTGACGGAGAGGGGCGTTGTACATTCAGCTAGTGAACTGAAGAAGGCCCTCAAAAACCACCATTTTCGATTGGTTCATGTTAAACTTAAGAAAAACATACCTTAGCTTCACATCTTCCATTGTTACTACAAGCACCATCGGTATAAACTACTGGGGCGTCTCGCCATACTTCAGGATCACTGTAGAAAATATTCTATCAATACAGTTTCTGGAACTGATTTAGCTTGCTCTTCAATTCTCAGCTTCTTACCAATTCTTCAACCGCTTAGGGAGTTCTGAAGTAGAGGCAACAGATGACGATTCTACGGAGCACTTCCTTTTTCTCGAAGTATTCTTATTCTGAAGAAAAAACTTGAGTAGCATGTATGATAAACCTTTTTGCTCAGCTTTGAGTTGACTTTTCACCACTTAAACTCGCCTTCCGCCACCCAACATTGGCATTTAACACGTAGAAAGATATTGTCTAGCAAGAGATAAGCACTCTCTATATGTGAACAATTTTGAGCTCCTAAATAGTATCTCTTAACCCATTTTCTTCTTAAGAGAATGAACCTAGGAACGCAAAGATAAAGTACGAAACTATAATATCCAATACTTCCAGTACTGCATCTATTACCTCGATGGCTTTACCAGGAATACCACATGTGAAGACTACATGTAAGAAACAGTGATGGTATTAAAAAGTTAGGTTCTCATTTCCATTCTAATCCAAAAGCCCAAAATTGATGTATTGAAGAGGGGCAACAGTGAGGAATGGGNAAAAAAAAACAGAACAAATACAGAAGTATAACCTGGAAAATATCAAATTTGGAAAGCCAGGTTTAGTAAAATGTAAGTTTCAAGAAATTCTCACTAACTCACCTCTCCATCTTCGCTGCTTGCACGTGAAATCGACGAAGTGCTTCCGGAGGTACCTGAAGTATGTCGAATAAGATGGAAGGAAGGAAAACGGAAACTACATTACGATGTTATTTCTTTTCATTAATTAGGTTGAAACAGTTCCTAAGCGGTAAGTCTTGAGAAATGGCTTACACCCTAGCCTGTAGTTGTCGATGAACGCGAGGGCTTCGCTTACAGTTACGAATTTCTTATATCTAAAGGAATATCTAACAGAATCGGTATCGTCATGAACTTCATCATTCACAAACACTTTTTTCCGGATGAGAATCCTGAAACCTTGAAAAAATATACCTTGCTTGAGGATACCCGTTAACTTGCGCACGACACTCATCCCACGAACCAAATATACCGACTTTACGACCGTTTGCGACAGCATAGTAGCCTCCCTTTGCCATGGATTGACGTTAAATCCGTGTGAAGCCGAGTCCAATGCTGGGCTGAAGAGGAACATTGGAAAATTGAAGATATATTTATATACATTCAATACAAAATATAGGAGACCGTCATCATATCTTAAAGGTTGCAAAATGCACTCCCTCGGATAACCACAATTTCGTTGCCCATTGCCAGGTCTAGAACTGGCTATGCAAAACGGAGCGAAACAGAGTAGTAAAGAGAAGAGACCGCGCGTGTATGATACCCTCTTTTCGTTTCCTCTATTATTCATGATGAACCAACCCAAGTAGGAGAACATACCCTCACAGGTTCCACCGCAGTGTCAATAACTTTAAAATAAAAAGTGAAAAACGAAAGCACATTCTTGAAAAGCCGAAAAAAGGACTGTTTGTAGAAGAACAAGGGCTTTCGATATCTGAGGGAGCAAACCACTTCATATAGAGGCTCAATTCACCACAACTTGAAGGTACGTTTATTCCAGTTCTAATTTATTAATTTATGAAATATTTATGCTATTAATTCGAACTGCACGAGGTAGTAAGCAAAACTATAGCCGAACTACATAAAGCGAAGCGAAGGGCAAGTAGAGATACGCATTTGGTCGGGCACAGAAAAAGAAGATCAAGCAACATGCACTAATCGATCAGTTGTAGCTCATTTCTTCTGCTTTTTCTGCGGTTCTGGGGCATCAGCTCCACTAGATGATGCTGCATCTCGCTTACGACTGGCCTTCGCTTCTTCTAAAGTAGGCTGCCTTCTTGTATGATCTCTATCAACGGCAACGATGGAATCCTTTCATAATTCTAACTTTCATACCCTACCTATTTGTTTCAAAGTTTTTCCTTCGGCAAACATTTTCGCTTCCTCCTCATTATCGAATTTCTTGAATTTTGCGCCTTTGAAACCAGTCGTTTGTTTTTTGCACTCATCCCACGAAGTGAAGCTGAAATTGACAGATATCTAGGAGCTTATTTCCGGACTGAACTGATACGAATGACAACAGTGACTAGGGAGCTTTGGCCAAAGAAGAAATGGCAGAGAGGAGAGTTTTGAGGAGGCGAACAACTGTGCAAGGAGTTCGAATATTCATCTCTCGAGCGCTTTACCTTCACATACCGTCGACAATTGGGATCAAGCGTAAAGCTTCAGACCTTTGAGTACGACAAATTAATCGAAACGTCAGGCAAAATAAATGTTCCATCATGAGGATCCTGTTCAATAAACAATAAAAATACTCATGAAATAAAATATGCCCAGGTCTCAAAGAAGGTGAGCACAGAGTTAGTAGTGAGGGGGAGCGCTTCACTATCAAGACCAGCAAACACAATCCGTATTGTCCGTTCACTTGGATTATAGCAAACAACTTACACTCCTGTTGTGTGCCCCTTTGCAACCGCATAATATGTTACTCCTTTTTCTTCCTTCTTCTTTATGGCTTCTTCAGTTGGCTTGACCTTTTCTTGTTCGCCATTCTCACCTAAAAACAAGCATTTCGAACGGTATCAATAATTTCGGAAGTTCATAGACATAAACTTAGCACATCTCCTTTCTAAACCTTTTCATCAAAGTTCACCTTTTTCAGTTCCACGGAAAAATTTGTTGAAATACGATACAGCTTCATCCAGGTTGTCAAACTTTTTATGTAGTGGTTGGGGATAATCTTCTATCTGCAAGTATTTTGTAAAAGTTAGCTTTCTTCTAACTAATCGTTTACTCACGTACAGATTTCTTAACGTCCTCATAGTCAGTGAAAACCCCAACTGCGTAACCACGTGCGACCGCATAGTACTTCTCCCTATTCGGTTCGGGAAAAGTCACTAAATAATAATTCTGGACCACACATTGAAGCAATTTCTCAGATTATTCGACAAGCCACAATAACTGCTCTACTTCACTCAAGTTTTCAACACTAAGAGCTTTGGTATACAAGTCGGTTCATGAGACCTCGGAATAATTTGCGGTCGTATACATCAACCGATACGGTGTCGTGCAAAAGGATGGCAAGCATGCCTTGTACCAAACTAGCGAGTATAGAAGTGCAAACATTGCATTAAGATGCTTTCAAATGACGACCGTAACCAAATCTGGCAATGGATGCTGACAGTTTATTCTGTTGGTATCAGCAGTCCTCCTGCCATTCATTATCATCGGTCGCGTTGCAGTCCTCTGGGCTAAGTCCCTTCTGTGCCCCTTTCGGGATGTTGAGCACCCGGGCGTCCATAGTCCAGACAACAGTTCCCTTCTTACTACAAATATTCACAGAAGTTAAGAACTACGTCCTGCGGGCACTTCCAGAGTTCTCGTTGAGATCGCCCTCTCTATTAGCGAATGAGGAATTGGTCCAGACGAATGTTTCCCCTATACAGAATCCTTCTTAGCATTTTCATTGACGATAGTATAATTATTGGAAGTTAGGAAGAGACCATGGATGGACTCCAGGGCTATAGCGGACAACCTGAAAGATTCTCATGAAGGAAGAGACCATGGATGGACACCTGGGCTATAGCGGACAACCTGAAAGATTCTCGTGACATTTTACCCTATGTAGAAGTAAATCTGAGTTCCTGGAAAAGATAGTAGAATCCTCAACAGATACTACTAGGATTTATAAATAGTCCCTATTAGAGAAAACTTTCTGGAATAGTTGAGCTGCGTAATAAAAATAGTCAACAGAATAACATGAACGGAGGATGTAACTCAAGTTTAAAGATTCCAACCCTGAAATATGGATATAAGTCAAAGCGGTCAGCAGCACTCACTAAATTCAGAAATGACCGTATGTTGGACATGCAATACGAATCTAAAAATAACTGAACACCCTACGCTCTATTTTCTTCGGCTGCCGTGCATTGAAGTACTCCTCAGCTTCGTCCCGCGTGGAGAATTTTTTATAAACTGCTTGAGGAAAATCATCTATCTGAATAAAACTCATCAATTATCATTGCACTTTATCTCGAGGATAAGCTCACGCGCCTTTCTCTTCCAAAAGTGTACAATTCTGCAACAGAATGAAATAAATGCAATTATTTCAGTGCTCTACACCTATATCTAGGGATTCCTCTATCAGAACTGAATCTCTCCTTTCTATAACAATTCAACAAGACCTCTGATACGACTCCTTTCGTTACAACTTGATACTTCTAGTTACTTTAGTTACATCTGCGTTACTCGAAAACTAAACATGCCAAGAATGCACATTACAACAGCTATAAAGGTGGAACCGTAGTATCAGAGCTTGGTGGAGCAACGTCAGGACTTAATTTGCTTTACTCAACAAATTTTGCTAAGATGTAGAGTCAAGATCAAATATTACTTCTTGTCCAACGTAGTAAAGGAAAACCGCGAGAGCTTATCCATCATCCAAGCTCAAATTTCAAAAGGATTCAAAGTTTAGCCATTAAAGATGGCAAGAGAAGAGAGACCTCCAAATCAAATGCCGTCCATTTTGAGGTTCATCTTCGGAGCCCCTTTCGGATCTATTGTTATTTTTCACAATAACTCATGGAAAACTTTTCCATAGTCTCGCAAACTACATCATAGAACACCTTAAATCGCTTACCTGCTTCTTAGCATCGTCCCATTTCTCATATATACCTCGTTGGAACCCATGAGCAACAGCATAAAACTTTGACATGCTTAATACAATCATATTTTTACATTAATCTTCTACCTGACTGTTGATTATGCATCTTCGAAGCGAAATCGCATTGCAGAAAATAAAAAAATACTGATAAACCATTTCTTAGTTGCATGGAGCGGTTTGAAAGAGAACAATGTACACTATGAGTATGACTAAACAAGTCGGTTTTAGGTCAGAACTCTTGTCGTTATTATGAACCTTTGGATAAAACAGTGCGAGAAAACATGACGAGAAAACAAAATCAGATGATCGGAGAACATTAAGCAGAAAATACTAGTCCTGCAAAATACACCGACCAAACTCTCCCAATTGAAAAAGGGAATGAAAAGAAACATGATCAGTAATCCTATGCACGAACTAAGAAGCACAAATTCCAAGAAAAGCAAACCACTGGACATCTCAACTCCAAATGGGGCGTAAAAGTAGAATTACATACTTGTAATTAAGAGCTACGTTGGGTCTGGGTTCCACTCAAGCTGATTCCATTAAATATTACCTTTTGTGAGGTACAGCATGCACGAAAAAAAAAAACTGGTAAATATGTATGTACAAAGGCAGATAACAAAGTCATTTTAAGCACAAATATTGCCAATTAAAGCTCTAATCTCGAAGTTCAGCCAGTCGTTGCGCCATCGACTCGAAATCTTCAGTTTCAGCTGCAACTTTTCCGCCACCAAGATCACCGGTCACAGCGGCAGGAGCCTTGCCAAGTTCACCGGCTGTCACCTCCCATAGGATGCGATCTACCTCTTCCTACAGATTGCACGGTTATACAGATAAGGTTTGCCACATTAAAATAATCGAAAGTTGGAATCATACCTGAGCCTGTTCTTCCAGATCCTCTGGCTCCATAGTTTCCATGGTCTCCTCGATCATTTCATCGATAATACCGAGTTTCATCATTTCCTGTGCCATTTCTCGCATCGTCTTCATGATTTCGGGCACCTAATGTCAATATTGAGATTAAGAACTATGTCCGGAAAAATCTTGAAACTTATAACGAAGTTTTATGACTGACTTTAAGACTTTGAAGTCAAATAAAAATGTGAAATAACGAAGAAAAAGACAAAAAAGGAGAACGTAAAGAATGCTGATACTTAATGTACATTCCTGAGAGTGAGCATTCCTAATGTCATCAGGTATTCGTTGAATCGTAGCATCAGTGATTAGAAAGGAACGAAGTTCAGCCACTTCTCTACCAGTCCCAGTTCAAGAACTAGAGAGATCTGAGAAAATTACCCACCTTGACGAGGTTCTGCATACTTTGTAAAACTTGGGTGGATTTCTGTAGCGAACCAGCCATTCTCATCGTTGCTAGCTGTTCTTGCATACACATGATGACTGAGTTGATTTGAGCCTTACTCATGTGTATTTTGGCGACAGCCTTCAATGTAAATGTACTGAAATCAGTCCACTCAAGACAACATATTTTTGGGACCAGTTAAAGACTTCCAAAAAAATGATAAATTCTTCTAGCTACCAACCCAAACCTCACGCTTTTTCAAATCTTACGAGCTACTCCTAATCAATACCTATCACAAAAACGTATCGGCAAAAAAGAATGCTTTTAATAAATTGATTACAATGGAAACTGAAAATAATTAAAAATTACCTTGCGTGATTGCAACAGTGACTTTGCCAAGACAACGCACACTTCTCTGTCGCCTTTCTTCGCAGCTTCCTTGATCTCTTTGGTGACCTGTACAAAAATTGATTATGGAATAATAGATGGCGGGAATCAATTGAGAAACTCAATTGAACAGGGTACTTTTAATTCGAATTCAAGGTAACAGGAATGAGAACAGCGAAAACCGGACCCCATTCAGAGCGTGTGACTGCTGGGAATCGATGGTGGGGAATCGCAAAAACGAAACAGTTCTCAGAAACCATAAAAATGCTGCCTACTTAGGCAATCAGATGACACCTTTACAGAATTCCGAAACTTCGAGAAGAAACTACCTACCTTCTGTTCCTCACGTTGAATGGCATACACTTGCCTGTCGAGTGCACGCATTTCTCCTCTCATCTTTCGTTGCATTTCCCGAACTTGTTCTTTGGGATCCTTTTTCTTTCCAAACAGCCCCATCATAGCAGAGTTCTTGTTTTTGAAGATGACCGTGTAGCCGACCAGAAGCCAGCAATGACAATTTTCTAAGCATTCCACTAATCAGAATTGGTTGAAAATTTGTGACTGCTTTCACTAATAGATGGATAAGGTAAACTAGTGTTCATTCACAGCGTTTATCGCTCTGACGATCAGCACATTTGTAAAAGATGATCCGTAAGTTAGCAATAATCACTATGCCTCAATGTAATCCTATTCCAGAAAAATCATAAACATAAAAAACACCCATAACAATATCGCTGGAATTGAAGACAATGCTTCGGAACTCCTCAATGCAAAGAGAAATATGAATGGGCTAGATTAACCGTTGTACAAACCCTGGAGAATATCACTCAGGACTGTAAACGCTGATCAATCAAGAAACAAAACATTTTGACCGAATACATGTAGGGTATATACAATTGCGCTATGCATAACCTCAAGCGAAGCAACCAACAGTGAAAAAACTGATAAAAGCGTGCGATAATATAAACGAGCACCATCCAGGGTAAACAAGTGAACAAGAACAAGATTCAGACAAGAGGCTTTAGGCAAACAGGCTCGTCAGCTCACCCCACACCCAACAAAAAGGAGGTCTAAGTTCCAAGAAAAGGAAAGAATCAACGTTTTCCTTTTCTACAACTTCGTAAAACTCTGATTTTACACTTTGCAGAGAGAAGGAAGAAGGAGAGGGAAAGAGAAGTTGAAGCTAAAATGGCGACAGGTATTATGTGAACGAGTGCTCTTTGACACATGCGAGAAACACAGACCACACAACCCATGCTCGATTTTCGGTGCCGATGAGAGGTGCTATTTTTGGAAATGACTCAGCCTCCCAATCAATGCTGTCGGAGACAACCTCTGTTCTTCAGCGGGAAAGGTTATAGTGCTTTACACTATGAATCTACTGCTCATCTATTCTCTCATCGAGGAACAGATTATTTGAAGGTGCTCTTCAAATCAAGACTTCTAAGACCTATTTTCTGAGTGAATCATACTGCATTAGCAGACGGAGGGCAGCACAGCCAATACCACACACCTCTTCAAATAGTGAATTCTATATTCTTTTACTTACATCGAGGAAATCAAATCATCCAGTACTAATCAGACATTCACACAGAATCACAAACTTTCAAGCAGCCGATCAAACCAAAGAAGCGTTCTGAAGGACCAAGCCCACATCTGATATGCAATGGTAACTAGTCGAATAACCCTTTGAAAAACTATGGCCCAAAAGAAATGGAACATAAAATGGGGTGAAATGACGAAATAATGAAAAACACATACTATTTCTACAGCGCTATCATGACATCTTCCTCTATGTTTGCAAAATGTAGAGAAGTACTCAAAAAAAGGAAACAAAAATGTTTGGGCATGATGCGTCCAGATTGATAAACTTTACCTGGAAATGCGGCTGTGATGAGTCAGATGAGAATCCCAGAAGTAGACGGCTCAGAAAATGAAATGCCACAGGAAATGAGATGCTACGACAGTCGCAGCACGGCTTCTGATTGGAGCGCGACGTCCGTTGATTGTATAATTGAGCATCCTTCAAGACTGCAGGCCCGAGGAGAGGTAGCCAAACACGTTGTAGAACGGTTGACGAGGAATTCAGAGAGAGCGAGTGGTAATAGTATCACCTGCCGTCTCGTCGAACATCGATTCGCTCGGGCGGGCGTTAGCAAGTTCTCGACTCGCCTATGACATGAACTAATTGTTCCAATGAGTCCTCTTCATAGAGGAGCACGGGCCGTAGCATTACTTTCGTGAAGAAGTCTGTCCCCATCGGGCTTGCGGCTACCGTCGTATTCGTTCGACGTCTCAAGGTATCCAGTCAGAAACAGCTCTGCCCAGTAGTCAACTCAATCAAAAATAACGTAGGAGCATTGAATAGAACAGCGGTAGGTTATGACACAAAGCAGTATATGTGAGAGGTTTGAGTTGGGGTAATTTTGATGCAGCTATAGGTCCGTATCCTTTATTCAAGAGGGAATCAAACCTATCAGGAAGAACCACAGAACTAGACGCAAGCAGCCAAATCGCTAAGTCCTCGGGTCGTATGATTCGGTAATTCCATTCTGACTGGGTTTTGGAGTTCAACCTCTTTGGCTAGCCTCACAATTAGAACCTTTTCTAAGGTGAAGGGTGTGCGACGGTATCACAAAACCACGCGTTTCAAAATATGCCCATGTTGAAAATCTTGGATTTGGCCAGATACAGCTAATAGCTCCCAATTACATCTAAAAGTGTAATAATCCAAATTGCACAGCAGCGAGCCCCCAAAGGTCATCATTTGGGAAGCGTTTTCAGATTAAAGTCGAATACGTGGCAAAACTCAAAAGGTAGACATTGAAGGGCAACTCTTCAAAACATCCAGGCTGATGAGGAAAAACTGGAACGTAAAAATAACTCAGCTGCATCTTCACCCACTAGTAGGCACTCTTATTTACTTTTTTAAACAAAGTGTGTAACACAACCCAATAATGAGTGGATGTCGGTCCAAGTTGAAAGCGTTATAAATCACATCTTTCCGCAACAGAATGAGTCACAGAAGAGTGAATCGTCCATGGCCTTTGCCCACAATTACACCCCTCGTTACACGCGACAAATTAGCGCTCGGCTCAAGTCAATTTTTCCGAAAACACCACTTTCAACAGGGATTCAATCCACTCCTATCAACCACGAAATCATTAATTTTGAACAAAATATATGCAAAAGGAATCCGCTCGACTCTTTCAACTCAGATATCTTCGGAACGAAGAGGCGAAAACCTGTTATCTCTCAAAAGCAGCGAAGTGACTTCTTTATTTTAATGAATCATTAAGCGCGACTAATAGACATTTACAGTCATAAATGACTATCATCTATTTAATCATTTGTACATTCAATCGGTGAAGTAAGGGCTAAATTCAATGAATACAAAGGAATAAACAGCGTGATAGCAAATGACAAATCAAGATCAGTTCTGAGAGAGTTTGGAGCAAAAAAGGACTTGTCAAGTCAAACAGTCGATGAAAACGCTCATCTAACTCTAATAATCAACATCTAAGAAGTTTTCATTGAAGATTCTGCCATCTGTGCTAACGTATTCACTCGTTCTGCTGCATTTTTCAATGACTCCCGGCTATCCTGCAACAAATACAAATAATATATGTAGTTAAATGCCGGAAATATCGAAGCCAATAAAAAGAATAGGTTCTCGCATCATTTCGTTGGAAAAGTAATGACCAGCACCTTTTATGATGAGTGTGATCTATGATCAAGCATAGGGGTTTAGATGCAGAAAATTTGTTGCTTCAGGCACAGGATTAATAGAAACTCTGCCCTATGGTCGACAAAGTACAAATTGGTCAAGAACTTATCAAATCTATCACTTCATTTTATCGACTATGGGAAGGGTCAAAGAAAACAATGCGAATCCCTCTCTTTCGCAGCGAACGGATACATACCCTATACTTGATCATGGTTGGAGCCCTAAGATGTCTTGGAAGGTGAAAGGCCCTGGGTAAGTTGCCCATGCAAAGCTTTTGGGAAATGTCAATACAATTACACAACCAAGAAAAACTGCTCTACTCTTACCTCTATGGTTTTTTGTAAACTTTCGTTCGCCCTCAGCAGAGAAGCATGGTAACCTTCCAGCACGCGATGCATTGGCCCTTCTATGTCTTCCAAAGGCTTAAGTAAACATATACAGACACTGAATAAAAAAACTCAAAATTACAGCAGTGTCGACAAACTTACACTAATCGATCTATATCCATCAACTATGCCTAGCTCTTCGTTCTTTTTCTTGCACGATTCAGTCAAGACTTTCAAATTGGCTAATTTTTGTTCAATCTGAAATCAGGAACAAATTGTTTTATGCTCATGAAGTGGAAAAACCCCTCATAAAAAACAAAGTCCATGTACAGTACAATGTTGGGCGAGTAAAAAATGGAACAACATCAACCGACTGCTATACGTACCTCTGTGTCCGTTATCAGCTCTATGACCCGTTCTTCACATTTAGTTCGGAACGCTGAGACAATCTTTCTAGTGATTTCATCCGCTTCAGATTTTGACAGTGTTAGGTCGGATTTTATAGCCTAGAAAATACATTTTTGTGTTAATTACGTCGAGAAAACTCTTCAAATATGTAGTCTTTCACAAAAAAAAATCGCAAAAATCAAGTCAATCGAGAATGACCACAGTAAAGTCTTCCATCACAATTACGGGTCTCATTGATCAACCGATTTCCAAGGGAAGATATACACACTGCCTTTCGGAAAGACTTGCTAAAGTAGGCACAACATCAAACAATAGTACTGGCTCACACCACAAGTACTAACCCACTCACACTCTGTAGAACAAACATAACAAGCAGGCATAATATTAATTAAAATCTCGCAACAAGAAAAAAAACCAAAAATATCCTCTAATCTGATTTTCATTCTTTCACTTTCATGGTTAGGTTCTGGTAGTAGATATTTGTTCACTAGTTTTAAGAGTGAAATAGTAGCTCATATAGCAACACTGACAACTACGACAATACAGACATATCTGTCACTTTGCCTTCAAAAGAGCAACAAAAATCGGAATGGCCAGGACGAAGAGGTGTCGGTAATTCCTCGCATTCCCTTTCCGACTAAAGAGAGAGAGAGAGTAAAGAAAAGCCGATCGCTCACAGCAAGACTCACCATGGATCGGTCTTTACCAGCGAACTTATTCATCACCCTACTCCCGAAGTTTGAACTCTATGCGTCTGAAGGAAGCAAAAACTCGGATAAACGGGCAAATACGCAACAGCTCGATACTGACCGATCAGTATCGATAGCTCCCCAACAGCGAAAACCCCCTCAAAATCTTAGTCGCTGAAACTTTGATCTCTGCATCAGAAAAGTGTAAATACCCCATCATTTTCTCGTAGAAATCATAGATCGGTAAATGATAGTAAGATAGATATAGATAAGTGCCGATAAATATAGATGTAAAGGACGCTGAGCACTTTGAAAGGTTTTTACCACATACCCTTTTGTCCTTCAACGTTTAAATGCTCTACTCCAAGCTCCAGGCATGCATACAATACACATAGACATATGAATGTAAAGACAAACAAGCAGACAAAAAAAGCCAAGTAAGGTATGTAAGGTAACTCGATATAGAGTAGAACAAAATACTCACAGCTTTGCGCACACACTTCGGATAGGTTAGGCCCTGACAAGTCTCCTCCAGAAGTGTGTCTAGAGCGGCATGGAGTCGTTCCATTCAGGTTAACCGGAACAGAAAACGAATGCGATGACTGCTAGTTTATCTAAACATAAAAACAATAAGATCTTGTGCTTACCGTACAAATACTTTGAGAGTGAAAAAGAAAAAGAACATTTGCTTTGAACTTCAGCGTATTCGAGCTAAAAAGAAACATATTGACAAGATAAAGATTTGAGGATAAAGGTGTTCACAAAGTAATTCCTCTACTGATTATAAATGCATAAACTTCAGCCGAAAACACGGCGACTGAGTACTTGAACCTTGGATAGTAAACATAACTCAAGCAGGGCTTATATAAGCCAGAAGAATGGATGCAAAGAAGCTTGGATCAAGCAGCAATCTAATACCAGAGCCTTAGATTTTGTCATCATATATTCTTCCCTCCTGTAGACTAAGGTAATCGTGGTGGAGGTACGCAGGTAGGTTTGAAACAATGAACAATGAACAAATCTCCCTTGATGTTCCCTGAAGCATCACTCTGGCATCGATTGAATACGATCGATTCGATGGTTCAAATATGCTATTGGTCTGTTTCAACAATAACGTTTTGCAAATTCGTCAGCACTCTTACAACAATGAATGACCAAGTTAGATAACCGATACGATCTTGAATCATTATACGAATCCTCCAGTTCTGAAAAGGCACTCAATGTGAATCTGAATCAGCTACTCAAGCCCTCCCGGAGCTATGCTTTGACACTATAGTGAAATTGTTTCTATGGTAGAGTTAGATAGCCTTAAAAAAACCTAGACAGCGCAGTGATTTGCCCATCGTACTCCAGCTTCATTGATGACAGCTTCTACATCTCTGCGTCTTCGCTCAGTGAATGAGCAAGAGCTTCTGCACTCGAAATTCAAATCCTGGTCACAACAGTATGGTACAAAAAAATTTAAAGTCTCCCTGATTGTCGCATAACGTTAGACGATAGCACCCTGGACAGAATGTCATTCACCAGAAGAGGGACGCATCAACTCGAAACCAGACCAAAACGTGGTAATGGGGACGTTGAATGTGTACAAGAGTTCTATCCGAATTGTATTCGGATCTCAGGCTATCCGACTTTTGGGAGTGATTAAAAATAGGTTCCAGAAACCATGTCATCGTCGCAAGGGGAGCAATACTGCCTCATGGTAGGATTGCGTAGTGAATCCGAAAAGGCACGTCAAGAGAAGTTTACGGTCACGCAGGTTTTGGTGGTGCTCTCTGCTCTGTTAGAGCATTGGCTCAGGTAGCGATATCCAAAACAAACTGCGTCCACATTTCTCGTGTCAATGGATTGGAGGAGAAAAGGAGCGCTAGCAGACCGTATTACGGGAAAACCTCGGATAGCGTATGCTATTGACAAGATTGAGCGAAAACCCTAACGCTTTCCTTCCTATGTGGTGTTATATTGAGTGGCCTGCATTGTGGAGCATTAATGACTTCTAAGGACATTCCTCCTAGATCCAACTATAAGGACTTGATTGTTTTTCTTCCCTACCTGGAAACACTTTTCATTCTCATGTAGGAACCAAAACTACGAATACTGTAACTAACGGTATGAAAAAGTTTTGACGCGAAATCATGAGGAACAAGTGTTCTCAATGATTTTCGCCACGACGCGAATAATTCGCAGATACGGCCATAAGAACAAACCCGCCCTTGCACAGGGACATCCATTATAAATCCCCATTCTCTAACACACCACTATTCAGACCCCCACCTGAGACTCTCACAACTGGCAACGGGACACACGCATTGTGTTGCGCTTCAATTTGAATGAACAGAAGATTTACGATTCCACATAATCAACAGTATGAGCTACCAGTAGCTAACACACCGCACAGAATGCTGTCGGCCCTCGAATCATGCTCAAAAGTCTTCACGATGACAGTAGAGTATGCCTTGCGATTTCTTGGTCTCTACCGATCCTCGAAGTCACAAGCCCAAAGATTACAAGATCTCTCAGGTTGCATTAGCAGTTGAAGTCCACGCAATAAGCACAATTTTTGTATTCTTGCGTTGTTGCTCAACAAAAACCCAAAAAAAGGCGCATTCCCTTCGGATTGTTAATAGATCATGGGTATTTTTTTTGTCTAACGTATTCAGACTGCCCTACATTTGATAACGTATTACACAGACATTCGGTACGAAGAATGATGCCCATTCCTGAAAGGGGCTCTACAGATCATGAACAATTGAATAGACGTGAGAAATTAGAAAAAAGGGCTACGATAGCTACTGGCAGTATGTAACCCTACTGTTAACCGGACCGCGTAAAACTCACTCCCCAGACCTTGGAATAAGATCAGATACGGACCATCTTATTATTCGACTTTCGTTTCACACGCTGAAGTCGAGCAGCGGGTGCATTTACTGTAGGTACAATAACCCAAAACGATATTACACGGTCTGCACAGGTTTACCAAAAAAAGGGATTCTCCCCTACAAAAGGAACAAACAAATGGCTCACTACTACTGTGCTCCCATCAAAAGCTTTCAAATTATCTGTACACGTTAAGAACCTCAAAAATTAGATTAGCGCAAGTTCCAAGTACAATAAAGATCTTCCTGTCCCTACTAACATAAGAAAATGAAAGCAATATCAGATGGTTAACTAAAACTAAAATACAAAATGACAGACAAAACCGAAAGAACTAAAGAAAGCGAAACGCGAAAAGGAGCGATTGGCTCGAGCGATCTCCGACGAATTCAAATGCCCCATATTGGCGCGTAATAAGAAGCCTGTATTGGAGCGCGAAAACCGCCGTAGGACGACCGGATGCAGCTCGTGGTGTAGTGTATGGCTCTTTCTCTCGAATCTTAGTTAAAATAATAGGAACAAAGTTGCAACCATTTATTTACACGATATAAACACGTGTGACTTTCAACATTGCTTGAGCAGAAGAATGATAAGTGAACATACATCAACTGGAAGTAGCAATCTCAGTCGGGGGAACGACTATGCCCCGAGTCTGAAGAAGCAACAATGAGACTTTGACAATTTTGAGGCATTTGAATGGGCAAAAGCAGAGAGAAGTGACTGTATTTTCGAGAATGAACTTCCGGTTGACTTTGTAATGTACGAATAAGAGAATATTTGTGATGTGATACTGCGCCAAAGTGATACATCGAGGGATGGGAGTATGATAAGTGATAGGAAGAAGTTGATCTGTTACCGAATGCATCGGCGGTTTAGGCTATACGGACGACGAGGAAATCATCAGGCAGTCGATGGTCCCGGCTCTTCAAGTTGTTCTTCATCACATTCTTCTAAAGCCAATTTCACGGATCCAACTCGAACCTGAAATACGGTACTGAAACTCAGGGTGAAGTAATATTTTAGTATGGTCAAGTATCGCTCTCAAAACAATTGGAGGGGCAGATAGGAGCTTCTCCTCTTGATACCAAGTTGAGCTATAGTGACAGGGAACTTTCGCTATTTTGTCCAGGAAACTTTCACAAGCTCCGCCTACCACACCAGTACTGCCCATCAGACTTCATGGTAAAGAATGACAAATGAGTATATATATATTCAAGAGTAGGAGAGACATACCAATTCCGACGACAAGCTGCTGATTGCCATCACTTGTCCAAGTAGAAAAGCGTTAGGTTTCTGGGCCAGCGCACGGGTTGCGATCACTCGAGCCTCAGCCTGAGGAGAAAATATTTCACCATGAAGCTATCATGACGACTATCATGATGTGTAATGTTCACGTCAGGGAAGCAGTTCACCTTACGGATCTTTTCGGCTCGTTGTTTTCGGGCCGAACGCGAGCAGCATCCTCGTGCGATCAAATCACGAAATAGCTGGAAATTGAGCAAACTCATATACACTTTACTAGAGGATTTACATTTGAAAGAAGTGAAAATTGGAACAGCATTGAATAAATATCACTAGTCAAAGCATAATATGATAGGCCGGAGACAACGGAAACGGCATGCGCCATGTGTCTGACTCTCATATGAAGAACAGGAGTAGTTGGATGCATTTTTGGTCTAATTACAATTGGAAAGCAGGCACTACATAAGTATATATTATATTCGGCATCCCTTTAAAGCAATTCATTAGAATTCATTAGTCAAGAAATAAAAGTGTTAGATAGTCGTTCTTGGTGTTCAATAGTGAGCCACTCGTAGAATGAGCCCTAGAAAGGTCAATGGTATCCGCTGCAGTGGTAGGGAAAAACCTGCTCAGCGCAGCACACTAATGGCCGATCTGAAGTCAATGGTTGCGTTTCCATGTGGCCCTTATGGCCCACCAACGAGAATTATTCCAACACTGAGATCCCCTAACGGTGGTAAGGGGTCAAATTTCGCTCTAAAGAGCCTCTACTGACAAAGCTGCAAGCTTGTAGGCTTGCAAGCAACAACCTTCTGACGCATTGGCACGGTGTATGCCGTAACGTAAGCTAAGGACCTTCCATTATCAGATTAGCGTTTTTAGGGTCTACTCGAGATGTCAAACAGGGGAATCTAATTCTGCAGCTTCAAATGACGGAAGGGTAATGAATGAACGAGAACACGGGACATCAGCCTGCGAATTAAGGCTTATATTTCATAAAAAATAATTCTAAGGAAATATAATTAGCGATATCGGATTAATTCAGATTGGCGCTGAGGATTTCCCGAAAAACAAAAACATTGACTTATATCTAACCCGCATCTGGGTTCCATCTATGCACTTTATACCCCAATGGTCACTCCGAAGCTCTCGCAACACGTATTCCTTTCCAATGAGATCTACGAAAATAAAATTTTTCTAGTTCAACACCAAAAAACACTTAAGAAGCAGCAAGGGTAGCGATTGCTTATGGGAGCACAGGCCTAATGACCTAACCATCCAACAGAGTTCCACATCCAGATGGAACCTTAAAGGTCGATTGGCACTTGAAGCTTTTGCCCTCCATTAACTTACTCCTGTANAGCAGTTAAGTATAGGGCTCAAGACCCCTACTGATGGCGAAAGAATTAGTAAACGGAAGTATAAAAGAAAAGCGATGCCGGCAGAAGATCGAAGACCAGCAGGGACTTAGTACAGAACTAAGCAGATTGTGAATATTTCCCTAGGATCGAGCTGCCACAACTATTCAGAAAACAGATCAATTCTAGGGATTGCGCCTTTTTTTTAAATGGTTTTCTTCAGTGATCATGTCCGGAGGCACCTCATGAGTGTCCAAATTGGCCGGCCCTATTTTTCAGGACTTGCTAAACTGTAATAATAATAAGCAAACATGCCGATGCTCAAAAATAGCGTTCGGAACCATATGATCAGTTATTTTCGGGAGGCGTTAGACTGCCCTGAAAAGATATACCCATATTTAAGGAAAACTCTTCAACCTAGTACTCCTTCACCTTCATGGGCTAGTATGATCGTTATGAGTGGTTAAGTTCGGGCTCCTATAGCACGATGGAAGGACCCGCACAAGACCTCTTCAGGATGAACAAAAGAGGAGAATGTAAAGAAGGAAGCCCTGATGCGTGGACTATTTGGAACAACTATTCAAGTAAGCAAAGCCCTGTCAATGGATCAGAACTTCCATGCCACTCCCTATCTTGGCCTCCACCTTATCCCGTGAATCTATGGAAAGCTCCCGAAAAGCTTATTTCACATAGCCTCAGCTCATAAACCTTAATAATGACCTCGCGTAGAGATTAAATCACCGAATCTTAGTACCCTATAATGTCGAGAGCCCCATAGCAGCTACAAACCACAAACCACGAATATATGCTCACGTTGCTCTTTGCAGACACGGTTCAAAGAGGAACCTCCCGGCTTCGGTCTCTGGCGGATGTAGGTCATCCCAAAGTTGAGTTCAGAAGGCAATTACTCTTATGAGAATGCACTAGGAATTGAAAATGAAAAGAATAGTCGAGTCAAGGAGGCTCAGCGAGTGCGACTATTGATCAGCACTGCCCGAGGCAGTCAAATGCGGACTGCTGCTGCTGCGAGACAGAAGAAATTGAAGAGAAACTGCCATTCAATGGCCACTCACATGGAAACCCATAAGTGACTAGTGCGGACGAGAGGGAATTCAAAAAAGTACCTGTTTCATTAATATTCGGCTAAAATCTGGCCCTTTAGGGACCGATTCAATCCCACGCTACTAAATTAGAACTGTAGTCTTGGCATTTCTTCTATGAGAAATATCGATAAGTGATCACATTTGTCCCGTTTACTCCCACTTGACAAAAGTGCTACAGGTTTTGTTCGGAGGTGTATAGTGGTAAGCGGCGCCTCTTGGACATCCGGATATCCGACCCTGACCTGAGCGCTAATCCAAGCCAAGCTCAAGTCTCAAATCTCAAACCTTCGCAGCGAATCCATCAACCCTACAATCCTTCAAAAGGGTTCAATTGTTACCAGGCCTGTTTGAAAGGATGGAAAAATATTCCTTATTTTAGGGCTAGCCTCTGCAAATTATTGCCGATATTTAGTGTATGTTCAGGTGCCACTACGATTTTGAACAAGGGTAGAATACGCGGCGCGTCCCATGATGAAGTGTATTGTTTGTATAATTTATTATTCGTGTACAAATAGATGACCTCTTCCAAGCCCGTTCTCATTCAGTACACGATAAGACGGGCGAGCAACGCGACCAATACTGTAAAAGAGGTCGGCATGGTAGTAGGGGATGCGGCAGTAGGGAGCCTGGAAGTTTAGATAAGTATATTTTCACAATTACAGATTAGGAACTGACTGATGGACTATTTACTTCTACTCTGACTCTGAAAGGTTCACCATAACGCTTCATCGTAACCCAACTCTAACCTGAAGCGGTAGATACCCGTGTCGGTGCACACAAGGATTATGCTGAGCTGTTTGTGAGGAAAAATGATTTTATGATATTTGCTTATCCCTTACCCTTAAAAAACATCAACTTTCCAGCTGTCATTTCCTATCAGTTGGGCACATAAATGGTTGAAAGGAGTAATTTTATTTAATCAGTCCTGAACGTCAAGAGTGAAATGCCCAAATACTGACACTTCGGACCTGAAAGTAATCACAAGTTGGGCGACCCTTCTTTGGAGAGGAGATTGCTCCATATAGCGTTGAAAGTGACTGATGAGAAAGTAATGGGATGAATATTGGCACTGGAAAGGACGCTTCACAGAGAAATAGCTGATTAAGAGAAAAGACCTCTCAGTGGATTACGGTAGGAGAAGTAGACCAAGATTACGGTAGGAGAAGTAGACCAAGTGCTGGAATAATTAAATGAGGTGGGCGATTATGAGCTTTCTGAACAAACGAGCACAGACCTACTTAGAATCAGCTAAGACTAGAGCTTTCCAAAAGATTTTCAGATGGTTTCGACTACTCATCTTAGATACCACAGACGACAAGAGTTCCAATAGCCCTTTTAGTATTCAGTCCATAAACATAAACAACAAGTACAGAGCCGCATTTCATCTCCTGTGCTTCAGGTACGTCCCATTTGCAGTTCGATAGCGTATTTTTAAGGATAGTCTAATAAGCGAGCCTGAATCCAGGTCTGAGCAGAGCAGGCAATGAAGGTTTTAGATGGCCACTCGAGAAGAAAGGCTTCATTCGTCTAGAAAATTCAGTTTGGCAAACTACAGACCAGAACATTACCGAGTGCAACATTCAAGTGAAGAAAATTAGTGGAATCCCATTCCTGAGGCAGTGAAACTAAGTGGTGGACATGTTTTTGTTGTAGTGAGTTACTGCAAAAAAANAAAAAAAGAGCTTCCCTACTAGCAACATTACTGCCATTCTGAGGACACGGCCTCCATCTGAGCCAGCCAGAAGAGCCGAAAAAAGACGAGTAGAGTGAAAGGAATTCGATGATCCTACTCTTTCATTCCTCCTCGTCAGACAGGATCATTAACATTTTCATGCTGTAAATTCAGCTTTGATTTTGCACATAAAGGAATATATGTTTCACACTCACGCCGGGCTTAATGAGAGTGCAAATAGGCTTCTCGGAACTAATTTATCTAGTTCAACGACTGTCTGGGTGGCAAAATGAGCACTACTTAACGACTTTGGAGACACGCGAGCAATTTGTGAAGATAGCTGATGAATATATTTCGGTATTAATAGTTGGTACCCTCGAGTAGATATCAACGATCGATGCCGTTTGGATGAATACTCCCAGATTTATAGAATCTTCATAAAATGCCTGCAGTTGTGTGGGTTGATCCAGAGACCCTTGATTCTTTTTATCCTATGATTTCTAATTGTGAATGTTTTGAAGCGGAGACAGTAGCAACGGGAAAGCGAAGAGGTCCTTAAGGGTTTCATGAAAGAAAGCCGATCATTTTTGCTGTGGAAGTAATTTGGACTTCATCCGATGAATACCATCGCTATGAACCTTTCTCGGCCTCATTGAGCTCTACAAACTACAGCCATCAATGCGGTGTTTATGACCCCACTAATACTATTTGGTATTGACTTTACTCAACTAGTACGCCCTCTAGAATGCTCAATTTTGAACGAAGACCACCTTCTAACCCCCATATTCGCCCACACCTCGTCTAAAAACAGGAAGTATCCTATGACCCTCGCTCGTGGGAGGATTGGGCGTTAAGAGCTACCACCCATGGTATACTCTGTAGGCACACTTGGTTAGTTAAACTTCTGCGATCTTGATCCAGTCCTAGATCTAAACAAAGCATAAGTCCAGTCTAAGATTATAGCAATAGATGTGCACTTTTCGCATCGCCCAGCATTTTGCTCAGCTTCTCGTAACTTACTAGAAAAAAGGTTTCCCAAAGGGCCGCCTTTTTACCATAACCAATAAATAAAGTAAAAGCCTTCTGTCGTTGACTAATGCCGCTTTCTAGATGCATCTCGCATTCTACTTCTATTCAGAATCGTAGTGGTATGTTGGGAGTGTATGAGTTCTAGACAAGGAGCTGCGGTGACCAGCCGATGTACAAGTCCTTAGTTTCACCCTCTTGGACGAGTCTTGTACAAATTAATCTGCCGGGAAAGGTGGGAGCCCTGGTTGGCTTGTGCATTGTTCGGGGATCGAATAGGGATTCGATCCCCGTACAATGCATGTGATAGTGCGCCCCTTGGTACTACCCTTCCTTCGCATAACGCGCTAACCATATATATACAACATATAAAACCTTGATTCCCTCGATGGTGTTCCCTAAACCGCAACAGCAAATGCTATGTTTGGGACGCCATTTTTTCTAAGGCTATAACCACAGGCTATAAATAACAGCGTTTTTTGTCAAATCACGGTGTTTGTGGTACACGATTTGCGGGTGTGCATTTGATGGACGGCGCTCAATGCCCCAGGAGACCGTTTGAATTCATCGAACGGGAAATGGCTTCATTGGTTTCGCATCTGGCCGACGTTACTGAGATGGAACCAAAGTTAATCCCTCGAATAATGAGTTTCTTCATAGCTCCCTACACCAAGAAAATGACGAATCGGCCGTGTTCATTCAAGCGTTTCGGCTCGAAGTAATTGAATAAACAACGGCTCAGGCGATGTGTGCCTTCTTGGGATATAAACAATTAGGGCTAAAAAAAGCTGCTGTATTTACATAAGGCTTACATGGATTGTACTGCTTCGCATGAGTCAAATTGACTGGCCAGTATTGTTTTGACTCATTGGATCCCTCTCAGCCCTTTGCGGATGCCACAAACCGCCCGTTCGCCGTTCCTGGACTATACACTCGTCGTAGCCATTCAGGCACAAAGTAATGAGAGCGTGAGCGCCGAGGCGGAAATCACGCGTTAAGGCTCCCTCATTGCAGTGCTCGAAGAGTGCACTTCTTCCGAAGGCATCTCGCTTCTTCACGGATACAAATCAAGCGAAAAAACGTTTTAAGAGACCAAATTATTTCAGAAAAGCATAAACCGAAGATGACTAGTGGCCAGGAAAGAGAGCTCCGCGATCGAAGCTTCTTCATCCCGAATAGAAAGATTTTTGGACATTTAGTGAGACCAAACTTCTGGGACTGTGCTGCTTTGTCTAACAGCACGTCGAGGCTCCCACAGGCCAGCGAAAAAAGGAAAGAAAAAAATTAAACTAAAAGTTTAATCCGCTCGGAGCCTGGAAGCGGGAAATGCGAAGATTTAGGGCCATATTGGAGGAAGCACGCTAACAGTACGAAAGATGAACTCAGGAAAAAGCTCTCGATAGACTCAAAGACAGTTTCTAGTAACAAGTTTCTTTCTTGAAATGGTTTGCCTTCCCGTGAGATAGATGCCTGAGGATCACCTAGATAAGAGCAGACACGAGACGGTTATCTCTTTTTACGCTTCTCGTGTCGAAGAGAGGAATCCTCTAAGTTAATAACTATAAACGGACTGATGTTGGAGGGTAGGGAGTTTAGTAGAGGATCCCACGAACTATTCTTGCCCCTATCAATTCTATTTGTTTTTACTTAGTCATATTTACTCAAAAGAAAGACACCACCGACTTCTCTCCTCTCATATTTCAATAGTAAATAGTTGTCTAAAATAATCCAGAGCTCTTCTTAGAACGAAATTCCGCCCATAGACAATAAAAAGGTGACAATGTAATCAAACATTAATCAACATCTGTGACGCACGTATGGTCAGTGTGTTTTATTCAGTACGTGGGCATATGCATTCATCAACGTCGGACATACGACAGCACCTTCTCGAATCCAAAGAAAAGCTATATCAACAAAGGACATTTTTCTCAGTGAATTCGTAAGCATTGCCTCGAGGAGGTAGCTACCCAATGGATTCGTCTGCTAGCTAAGAAATTGAATTAGGGGAATGAGACTTCAGGGAACGGACTACCAAGTTTCATTAGTGCTCAGTGCACAGACTCAGTATAATCCTGAGAACGATTTTTTAGTGAAAAAAAAATAGTCAGTCAAAGCAAATATGAATGAACATCGAGCAGCGATCCATTCTCATCCTGCGGAAGATTAAAAAGCTCCGCCCCCTACCACAAGTCCCTCCTACGCTGCCGAGCCACCATTAAGGTGGCAGTCTTCACCATATTGAAGTCGGTGACAGTCTTAACCGCTAAACGCGGTCAACCCGATCGAGTTAGCTGAATTACTGGGATATGACACTACTTTCTGAGCACGATGGGGAAGGGGCATTCGAAAGCTGCTAGACCTTGTGCTCAGATTTTTTTTACTCAGGCCTTCACCTTCTCCTCTCCTTCTCGTGCCCTTTTCAGTAGACTCCGTGATAGAACAGCATTTTACCTATAGTCGTCCGCACGTGTTGGCTGCCTTTGAGTGCACTGCACTCTTTGTTCCACTTCTCATCCCTCCTTCATGACAATCCAGTTTCCGGAAGTGTCGATTTTTTCCGATATCTTTTGCCTTTAAGGGATTAGCAATCTCACCGGAAATGCTTTAAAAAGGCCCATCCTCCTAAGGAAACATATCTGAACACTCCTACAGGTAGTCCAAGACCACGCCCAAGGAGCATTTGGAAAATTATTCTGACAAATGGTGATGGCAGAAAGTGCAGAACTTTACTCATCCGAACTCATTGAACTATCCAGTAGTTGGTCAGGACCACTCACAGAGAGCTAAGCAGCAGTTGTCGATCCCCCATTCGGAGAAGAGGTTCCTCCCGCATGAAGCAGCTCTCGAGCGGGACGAAAGGGAAATTGGGTTACTCGCGGAGCTGTGTAGGGCTTAACCAACGGCTCGATCCATTTTGTGGTTATTAGATCTTCGCAATGCAGTCCGCAGCTCAGCACTAGCATACCGACGAGGCGAGCGCTGGTAGCCATGGAATATAATGAGGTAAATGAAAAACGAACTCTATTTCCTAGTCTCGCCTCAGCATCTGCGAAATTTACCACTAACCTTCGCATCTGGTTCATTCATAGTTAAGAAAGTTCTTGAGGGAAAATCATATCCTTCTAGGAAATAGGAGTATTAATAGATGGACGAGAACAGCCCTCAAGGGAATTCAGTACGTGTATAGTTTTAACCGGTAAAGAAAACTAAATGGTTAATTCGGAAAGAATCTCGAAAGAATACCTGAGGCGATGCGCAAATAAGGATAATGATCATCCATCCGAATAGGATTCCGAGTCCTAGAAAGAAGATATTGCGTGCGTCTGGATCCATCAAAAAACGACGGCGACGTCGGCGACAACGGGAGATGCCGCGGTGATCCTACACGATCTGATGTCGTCAACGAAGCAGCAACAGATGAAGCATCGACGGTGACGGGGGGCGACGAGACGAGCCGCTCCCAGTTCGACTGCTGCCCGGCTTCGATGGGGCGTGGTCTGGAAATGGAGATTCGTTTATTCATAGAGGCAATGGCGAGAAGAGGGCGGTCCGAATCAGCGTACTACGTTAGATGTACGTTCGAGTCATTTCAATGACAATCACAAATCATGGTTTCAGAAGATTTCCTGCAAAAGCACCTCTAGCAGCTACCTTTATGAACGTTTTCTGCACTTAAAGGAGTAGAATGTAAAGTAACGCTTTCGGCAGAGATGAATCTTCTCCTGAGAGATGCGCCATGCGTGAGTTCTCCCTCAGAGTCGTAAGAACACTTGGAAGTGTAGCTAACCTAATAAAGAAATTTTCGCAAGTAAGCATACCACAGTATTTACTCAGCATACCACTGTACATATTTATGCGAAATAAGTGAGTATTCTTCCGGAAAAAGGCAAGTTTGATACGCAGATTCAGTCTGCATCTAACAACTTGCCTTGTACTGTGTAGGATGCAGAAATGTGGAAATTTATTCAAATACATATTTAATATAAAGCATGTCGTCCACATGAAAACTTTAATGACCCAATTAATGAATAAATCTGCCAACGCAAACGGAATCTCCAATCCCTCGGCCCATCTAGCCGTTAACAAACTCGCTTGGTTGGACAACGACAGCGATTCATGCTTAAAATAGCGGCCATCCCTCCAAATCCATTCATAGACCAATTCTAGAGTTCCAAAGGTCACCATGATTTTGAATCGAAAGTGAACGCGTGGCTCATGAAGACTCATTTCTTGCTAGACATTTCATCTCTCCATCATATCGCCTGCCGTAATCTCGTGCCCTATACATTCTTGCCTTTCGACAACATAAAAGTAATATGAACAATAATTGCTGGACTTCGTAGCCCTATTCTTACACTTAGTAGCAGGAAGCAGTCTATGACGAAAACTCCTTACGAGGATCTGGCAGGAAAAGTGAATGACGGAGCGAAAAGAAGGAGGGAAGGCAACAGGAAGCCTATTAAAGGGAGAAATGGAAGTCGAACAAAATTTTTGATCATGGGATTAAAATAGGAAACGAAAAGAGTGCAGTTTCGAATTCTGAAGAAGGATCAAACTAGTTAGCGATGAAAGAAGGTCCAGAAGAAGAGAGAAAATATAAAATGCATAGATGCACAGGGGAGAATCTATCAAGGACGATAGTTTCAGAGA